GAGTATACCATTCATGGAAGACACAACTGTTGAATAAAATGAACTATCAGATACCTACTAAAACATATGTTGTGACTATAGCATAATATTTTGTCTTCGACTATCGAATTCCAATTTGTCTCTTAGCAACACAATACAGACTTTTTTTTTTGTTTAAAACAAAGCACAGAAATTGGTCGTGTGCTTTGCCTTACGCAAATTGTGAGCTTCAACTTCTTTGTTAAATATTCCATTTATTTTGGTCATAATCCCAAAAGAAACAATTTGTTCAAACTGTTCAGCCAAACACAATGTCATTTGGCAAGGCACCACGGTTCTCCATAAAGCCAATTCTCTAGAGATAATTGTTTGCACATATCACTAGTCCAACATCTAGAACAACACACAGATCTTGAAATATGGGCAAGTAGATGCCGTGGCACAACCTCCTTCAGAGACCTTGAAGTTCACCTACTGTAACCAGTGATGTCTGACGATACACAGAATCAGGTGAACCTCCCTGTGCTTAAATAATGACACAGAAAACCCAGTTTTACCAAAAAGCAGTATTACCCACCCCCTCCAATTACTTTAAGACTGATCTCCAGTCAGTATTTAGGACAGTTGGACTGTGGTATGGTAGTTTATGTATTGCAGTCTCGCAAAGCATGGTGAACCCAAGAATAACATCCTATTCTAACTGCATATTCATTCTGTCCCCATTAACATCTGCAGTCCATCATCTGCAGAGACACAAGTATCCCGAGATGCTTCTCAAAAGTGTGTGGCCATCATCTGGTAGGTATACTATTAATTGCCTAATCAAAAAAAATACTAAGATGAGACGTTAACACTGTTCTAAAGCAGAACACATCTGTTCCACACTGGATCAAAATTATCTACCCTGCATTAACAGTTTTGTTAAGGTATTGAAAAAGCTGAGCATGAAATGTGAAAGAATTCTTTCAGCAATTTAAATTAGCAACACATCCTATTCTGGATTCTAGAGATTTGGGATTATTCTGTGGTTATTTATGACAACAAACAGTTCTTGCAGAACTGCTCACAGAAGTGCAGTCCCTCATAACAAGTGTGGTCTTGTGCTAAAAGCCTGAAGCCTCCAGAAGTGTGGTGGTTTTTTTCCCCCATCTCATACTAGGTCCTAAAGCTGTAAAAAAACCCAAACAACTGCATCACATTTGTCCTTCAGCCCTTTTCCTCAAAACCGGTACTGTTAATATGGCTGGCTGGAAGGCGAAGTCTTCACAGAGATGGTTCTGCTGGTGCTGCCCAGGACAGGAAGGCTGGCTAATGCCCTCTCTGCCAGCCATTCTCTGGAGACGTTGCCTTGCCTCTGGCCCTGGCCCTGCCCCTGGCCTTGGCCCATTCCCTTGCCCAGCGGCTGCACATGAAGCGAGTTTCTGGGGCCAGAGGAAGCCAGCTGTAGCTGAACACAAAGCTGTGTTGATCTCCAGTGGACACCCCAGCTAACTGCCTTTCCTGTGGGGCTGTGGGAATGAAAGCGGCTGGTGCAGCAGCGTCTGCCAGCAGCCAGGCACCGACAGGAACGGCCTTTAGGAAAGGAGAGAAAAGGAAGAGCCCAGCAGCTCCCCCCATCACTGCTGCATCCTCCCACTCCCTCCCGCGTTTCCTCACATTAAACATTGGACAGAATATTTTACCCATTTGTTAAAATACATCAAGAGGCTCTTCCCCTTCCTCACTAAAGATGCAGCCCTGCAGTTTTGCAATATATTTCAGTATATTTAAAATAGGTGCTAATTTATTGTTAATAACCAGCTCACTAAATTGCTTTCCCCTAACTGACTTTTATATGGCAATTCTGTTTAATGAAATCCCTTCAGTCTTGTTGGAAGAATTTTGTAGAATTCATTAGAAGACAGTAAAAGAGTCATAGGCTTAAGCGTATTTTTTTTACTGGTTTCTGGTGTCTTAAATTGGTGTGTCTCCTTCCGGCCTTTTCCCTTCACTGGAGTATCTAACTGTTCTACAGTCTCCATACTCTCCCCATTTCTCATAAAAAAATTTGTTACTATGACAAAAAAATTCCACTAAGTAGAAACTGTTCTAGTTATTCAATTGTTCCATTACCCAGCCATCAAGATTTAAGTTTCAATATATTTTTGGAAGTACCGAACAAAGATAACTTGGGTACATTTTTAGACAAGCCTATTTACTTTTGCATTTTAAAATGGTCTCTTTGACATGACAAGAAAATTTTGTCAGACCATAGCCAGAATTCCAAGGTAAACAGCAAAAAATTGATCTTTATCTATAAATACAGAGACAATTGGTTCTGGTACTGAAATGTCTGTTTATATTGATTTCAGATAGGGAGGAACAGAAAAACAGTTTGGCTAAATTGAGTCACTGAATGCTTATCTGATCTGTTCTGCCTGATTAAATCCATGTAATCATCAATTTAGATATGATTCCACTATCAAAATCTGGCCATTACTTAAAACAACACTTAAAAAGATAAAGAATTTGGAAGTCAAATGATAGACTACAGACATCAACAGGTCTTAGCTGGTCTCTAAAGTTAGAGAACTAAAAATTAAATAATTGATACTACCTACATATACAAGAGAACTATCTAGCTGTAAGATAAAACCCAGTCATTTTAATATAAAAAAATATTTGAAATTAAAGTGTTATTTAAGAAAGGGATATTAAAAATACAAGGATCAGCCAGAATGTGAAACACAATATTTTGCTGGAACTAAAATGAGAAACTAAGTGGAACATGAAAACACTACCTCTTCAGTAAAAGCAATTTTAAAATAAATAGATTTTTTGAATATATATAAAAAAACTATCATTATAGTTGAAGTCTAAGGAGAAGATCTGGTTCATTTTAATCTCCTCTTAATCTCGTTTTCAAAGCAATACTCATTATTCCTGCATACCTGTATGTGTGCATCTTTCCATGTTTCAAAAGCCAACTGAAACATCTGACAAAAGGCAGCAGGGTCTTCAAGAGTGCGAGGTCCCCTGTTCAGCCATCAGGAGAAACAAGGGTGGGGGTCAGCAAGAGGAGTTTAAATACTTCAGTGGGGAAGGCAGAGGGGACACAAGGGAGATGCGAGATTGTTAGGATGACTAACAGGATGCCAAGTCAGAGGAGAACAGACCATATTCTGTTAGTCACAGAACTGCTTGTTCTAACAAGAGCCCAACAGTCTCTATCTCTGCCTACTTATAACATTTTCAAAACTATTGAAAATGAAAAAAAAAAAAGATAAAAAAAAATCACTCAGAAATCCCAACATGGAATGAGTTAGGGTAACATTCAGCTTCTGCACCACGTACTTGCACAGAGTTATGGGAATTAGAGGGTCAGTCAGCCTCTAGGAAATCTCCCTTGCTATTTAGTAAATACTTTTAATTCCCTAAAAAGCCATGGTTAGCTTGTAATGACCTTACTGAGCCACAGTCCTTGTGACTGCTTTGTAATATGATAATTTCTAACTTGCTACCCAATTTTGCAGTAAAAAAAAAAATTTAAAAAAAAACACCTGCAAAATACTGTATTTTTAGAGGTAGATGTACATTATGTGTTGTTCTGAAGATGAAATAAGGTTGTGTGGTTAATACACAAAGTGAGCATTGTGATGTATAAACAAGAATTCAGGAGAGGAGACTGCTCACCTCTTTTGGGAATTTACTCTGTAATCTTTAGCAAATCACTTAATCTTTCTATGCCTCCATTCCTCATATATAAAACAGGGTAATAACTTGCTGTAAGGATAAAAGCTGTCACATGTCCTCCTTTTAAAAACTAAAAGGCATAGAAAAAGCTCTAGCTAAACAGTTAAAAAAATGTCTTGCCAATATTAAGGAAAAGATCAATTTTCTTTGTTATCCAGAATGAAATTTCCCCAAATATTCTCATTCAATGAGTGATAGCTGTTAAACAGTTTGGTTCTTTACATAAGAAGTGATTAGCTTTTTTAAAATTGGCCTTATAAGTTTACTAGCAGTCTGTAAAAGTTCAGTAAGTTTCTTACCACATTATCCTGACAAACACAAGAAGAAGCACAACCATAAAGCTTACAGCCCTATCTAAGACTACAGCTTACATCAGTTTTCAGACTTTTAAGCACGCTGTGAAGGATTCACATTTCGCTGTCACACGTTCAGTGTGTATGACGAACAATGACAACTAAGTGTATGTAAACTGTGCAAAGATAAAAGTCCTATGCAAATGCAGTGGCTGTACTACCCATTATGTTCTTCTGACTTTGACCCTTTTTCAGGTATTAACATATGCTTAATCAAAACAGATTATTGATTCCAACTTTGGTATTAAACAAATCGGTGGAAAAAGTGGGAAGACCTCACAAAAAGGTACAATCACTAAGACACGATGGGCCAGCCCGACAGTGTAGTAACAATCCATCAGACAGTGATACGAGTTTGGATCCTGAACTGAAGCCTGAGCTGGTGAATCGGAGAGGCTGGAATACTGGCAAAGGCATAGCACTGCTCTCCCAAGGAGGGTGTGGGGCACAGCGAAAGGACTCCTGGCATCGTTCTCTGGGAAATAGTTTGGCTCATGTAAGGACCAGCTCCAACAAGTTCTGAGGGAAGCTATGCTTAGGCCTTCTCTGCAGGAGAACATATTTTACAACACGGAGCCTTTGATGGGACTTGGGGTAGGAGTTTAGAAAATGTATGAGATAACTGTATACCTAACTGAAGATGAATGTGGATGGGGGACTACATCTGTATACGAAAGGAATGAACGGAAGTAGCTAACGTGAGAAAAAACATGGAGAAAGTTTCTGTGAATAGAGAATATAGAGATAGCAGAACTGGTGTATGATCCTATCATTTTCATAGAAAATGAGAAAAAAATCTTGCAAGTTAAAGTATCTTTATTTTCTCAAATATCTGAGTATTTGAGCTGATACCCTCTAACCTGTGAGTTTGAAAGTAATTTATATTGAAAGACAGCTTTTACAACTCTGATATTAACATCACAACACTCAGTTCACAAATTATGTACTTTAATATTACATGCATTGTAGACACTGATTCATATAGTTTATTTGCCCAAGTAGTCATTCTTAATGTACAAGTAATAACTATTGCTGTTACGGTGAAATTCAGTAGCATGCACTGCACAAATTTGTGTGCAAAGTTGTTTTTAGTTAGAAAATTTTAAGGTCATGATTTCTAAATTAATATTATACACAAAGTTTAATTTTGGTTTTATGCAGACATTGCATAGTTGATGATCAGCTTCTCAAGACAGACTGCAATTGTGGTACCAGTATTGTTGAAGCAGATCAAGTGACAGTAGCAAACAAGAAGATTTGAAGAAGAGGCATAACTTTCAGGGTTGAAAGGTCAGCAAGTACAGCCTAGGATGAAAAACAAAAAGGCTTCTTAAACTTGACATTTGAATCAAATTTTTTTAAAGCAAGTCAAGAAGTCAGAAAAAGATTCAAATACTGACTACAGTACTAACAATAATTAGATTCAGACCTGGCTAGAAACAAATTATGCTGTTTTAGTTTAGTGTGCAGAATGCCCTATTGTATTATTTTTCATTCTAATATTTCAAAGAAAAAGCATATGTTTACATATATAAACCAAGTAACTTTATTTTAGCCTTTAGCCTTACTTCAAATATACATGGCATCATGGGTGAATAAGGGGTCTAACATTTCAACTTGCTTCTAAAAATAATTGGGAATTAAGAATCCTTATCCTGTGGCTTGGCTAGTACTTGTGAAGTAAGTCCAATGTAATGACTCAAATACTCAATGTCTTCTCATGAATGTATGTTAAAAAAAATAAAGAAAAAGTCATCACAAGCTCTCAAAATTTGAAAAATGCATCACCAGAGTTTTGGGAAAAAGTATATTTTAACAGATTACCAGAGGCAAACAATAATAATTTTCATCTTAATGACTTAATTTTCTTCATTCCCCATCTGTAAAATGACAGTACGCACAGTGAAATTTCAGATTCAGTACTGAAAAAAAAAATCATAAAATTTTTGTAATGTCAAAAAGCACAGAAGCAACTACATTAAAATGCCCTGAGAAAAATGGTATAAACATCTACCATATTTAAAAAAGAATATATCCCACAAACATAGATTATATATTAAAATACAAAAAAACCCCTATTGTACAAAATAATTTGATAACATTGCAGTTCTGTAGCAAATATATGCTTTTATTTCCTTTTACTCCAGAAAAGCAGTATTACGTAACGCATATTCACAATTTCCTTAGGTTTTTTATCTAAGAATTTAGACAGAAAGATATGCACTATGTACCACGCGCCGTGTAAAGCTTAAGTTACTCTTGTTGGCAAGGCATCAGAAACTATTTCAATCTCCTCCAACTGAAACTTATCCTTACTTCAGCTGCAGCCAGTGACGTCACCTCCATCAGGTTGACTGCTCGGAAAGCAAACACAGCAGCTGCCAGGACTGAAAGAAAATGCCCAATATTTAAGTTGCTGACTTGTTAATTAGTGGTTAGAATTAATCTCAATGTAAATACCAATTCTCACTCCCTTAGAGTAATTATTTTGATTTTGAAGAATAATATACACTGGATGGCTGTGTTAAAGGCTCTTTTGTTATTCTTTAAAATGGACAGGAAAAACACAACATGCCTTCAGAAAAGTCTGAGTGAAAATGCTTGAGTTTAAGATGACTAGGTTTTAATTAAAAAGGACAAGGTGATTAGATCCTTTCTAAGCCAATACTTTTCTCTAAATAGCAATATATTTCAGTAGTGAATGTTATATAACATTTCATTATTATTATTATTATGTTCATTTATTTTGTACTATCTTATATAATTGTATCTCTCTACATAGCTGTCATATGTACAAATGGAACCAAACCATTTTCTCTTCTATTCACCTACTTGGTATTTATAAACTGACCCAACTGAAGATACATGTAATCTTTTATTTTATAAAAAATAAGTACAAAACTTTCAAAGTCTCTTAAAAGATGGGACTTCGGAAGAAGAGATCCAACAAAATCGGAGGAACTTTTGGTTGCTGTTAAGTACTGAAGAATTACTTGCCATAAATTAGTAACACGAATCTTGTATTTTGTGAAAGGTGATGAACTCATTTATTGTTACCACTGAACCTAGGAGAACATCCTATGTTTTGTCCAGAAAGCACTTAGCATTTTTGGACTGCATCATAAAATAAAATTACCTCTCATGTTTTTGTTAGAGATGCAGTGTTTACAATTCCAGTTTTCTAAAAGTTATACTCTTTGACATGTATGTAATCTACATTCAGCATTCAGAGAGTAACTATTTTCTTCTTGTCACAAAATACAATGAAGCTAACATGTATTTGCCTTACATCCACTTGGACGTAACACATTTTGTAAAAATAATTCTATTACCAGCAAGAATTTCTAGAGAGTTGTATCCCAGGATTCTGTCCCACAGAAGCAAGAGCTGATCTGTAGCTAAATAACCAGAAAATGCTCGTACCATCCATTTAAATGATATTCGTAGCCTGCAAACAAGTGATAAACAACAGTTATTATATTTCTGTCTCACATAATGATCAGACAGATTCTCTACAAATTGAAAACATTTCATTATTATTCTTAATTTATCTTCCAGGAAGAATAGCCATTTTCTCTTGCTGCATTAATAATCAATATTTTCCTTTGCAACAGCCATCAGAAAATTATTTAGCATGTCATTTGACAAAGTACTAATATCACTAAAATATTCTGACCAAACAATCCTATTAGAGGGATCCTCAGCTATTATCACCCCCCAATGTTTCATCCTTTCTGCTATTATGCTGGATACCAATTATACCAGCGAGGTTTTCAGGTTCTATTGCACTTGGTGCCACGAGTACACTACAGAATGACAGCCTCTTGCTCTCTCTCCCGTTCCAGCAGCTTCTGCTGTAACTAACATATCTGTATCTTCTGTTCCTTCTGTTCTGTTCTTGTGTCACTTAGTTCCATCAGATCTGCCATGAATAACTGAAACTTAGCTGAATAATGCAGTGTTTCTCACAGAGCAATTCTCCCCTCTTTTTCTATATATGTTCTGTATAGAACATATACACAGGTTAGACAAAGGACTTCAACTGACTTTCAAGGAAAAATGGCACCACGTTGATGTTTGCACCTTTGAATAATTTCCTGTATCTTTTAAATTAAAATACTACAGAACAGCATATTCAGAACAATGAATCTGCAATATTTGTAGCAAGTCAGAAAGAAGTACTTACGGCTGAGCCCCAATTTCTCTAAGGTGATAAAAGAGCTGGGGCAGATGGGTTTGTAGAAGAGTCTCAAACAGCAAACACAATGATACAATGCCCTAATGAAACAAGATCATATCCTGAATACTAACACTCATCCTGTCAAATATGAGAAAGTAGCAGCATATAAGTATGCATGAATTTTTAATTCAAGCAATAAACCACTATTAATGATGTAACGATGACACAGCTCTGGCAAGCAGGGTGCAAGCAGCTCTAATGCCTTCAGTCACTAGAGCCTTGCTGCTACAGTTCTTTGTATGTATTAGCAACATATGTTGTGATAGTCCTTTTCAGCTCTAAGTTACTTACAGTATTTGTATGTCAGGGTCTAAGTATGTAGTGGGTTATTATAATATGACCTACTTGAAATACTTCCACTCGATCAAACATACTTCAGTTGCACTAAAAAACAGGATGTGAGAAACAGTATCTCCCTGATAACTAAAACCAAACAGCAACAGGCATAACTACGAAAAGTTAAATGTAAACACATTTTAAAATTTTTTTTAAAAAATTACTATGAAAATGAACAGATTCCTGTCTGACCGGTTTCCCTCCTATTAATGACTGAAAGCACAACATGAAGCCTTGAAATAGCATATCAAGGAAAGGATTTTCTTTTAAGCAGGAAATACTTTGAAAAAGTAGTAACTATTCACCACTTCGTGAAGGAGGAAAAAAATATTTACTGTTTTATTCTTCCAAAATAGAAGATAAGCCCATTTCTACAATTGTCTTACATTCAAGACAGCTGGTCCTGGCCATACACACAACCAAATTATTTAAATACATCTAGTAGTGCTAAAAAGCACGTGTGGTCACAAAGATAATTGAGTTAAAGAAATAGACATCAACTTGACATCACAAAACAGTATCCATATATATATGACTATATTTTAGTTCCACTACCCCAGAAAATACTTCAGTGTGCACTTACATGTCATTAATTACAATGAAAGTGAGTATGCATTTATGTGACATCTTGAAGTGAGAAACCTATTACATAAAAGACTTAATTATCAAAAAAACCACCAAACACCCCATACCCTCATAAAATGAGAACTGTACTATTTTAAAGTACATGATATTCTGTAACAAAGACTAACATTGACATAGAAAACAAAAATATCCAAACTGGAGTTACCTACTACTTTTTCTAAGCTTGCCTGAAATATTTTATTATATTTAAAAGGATATGTTTTAATTTCATAGAAAATCATGCCACTTTACATTATTGTTCCATAGCAAACAGAATACCAAGTGAGTGGGTTTTAATTCCTAATGAACTTACAGAGGGATGAGAAGAGATGGAATGGAGTCTGAAGAAAAAACGCACATACATCTCACGGAATATCTGATACAATTTGGAAGGTTCATGGTACAGAAAACAAAGTGGAGCAACTGAAAGGATAAAAGAATTATAATTGACTTAACACAGTAAACTGCTAAGAGTTCAATGATTAAGTGCAGGAAGTATGAGGAAAAGACAAGTAATTTATAGTAGTACAATTTACAAAAACAATACTAAACTAAGTATTTACAAAGAAGTATTTTATAGTAGAGTCTATCAGTTGGCAAAAAAGTTAAGAAAGGGAATACAATACATTCTAGGTAACAGTTCTATATGTTTCAAAAATCTAAACTAATTAGAATCTGCTTACTACAGTGCTGGCTTCCAAAGCATAAAAAACACACTTTAAGGATAGCTTCTCTGGGGTATAGCACAACGGTATGTTGAGCAGTGCAAGTTTTTGATTCAACCATCTATAACTTCCAATGTGTCCTTGGGCTAGTGACCACCTCCAAATTGATTACCCATTTGTAAGACCAGAGTAAGTTTACTGCTTTCAGATGGGTGTTGTGAAAGTGAAAATATTAAAAAAAAAAAAAAAAAAAAAAGCACTTTTGGTTGGCACAGTAACATCACAAATGTATGACAGACTGATAGGGACCTGTTTATTTCTTATAAGATCTGAAAAACATGGACATTCGGTCATTTAGTGCTTAGAAGTCCTTTAATGTACCTGACTCAATAAGAGTTGGCTACATTTGTAAAGCAGCAGTTCTCAAACTAAAGATAAATCTACTGTATACATATGCTGCATAAACATAATCAGTTCCCTCCAATTGTTACTTTATTCATTCAATGCATGTTTCACAGACAGTTGTTCTAGATACACTTTTGTAAACAGCCCTTTCATCTGCCCACTCATTATGTCTACTGCTTCATTTTACAGATGCATTCATTATGGATGACAGCTTACACTTCAACACACTCAGTCTCTCTCTCTACATTCACCTTCCCTTCTAGTTTTATTTACACAAAGCTATGGATATGGATACATTTGTCTGCTTACATATATATACATATGCACACAGACATATGTACATTTATATATAAGAGTGTATGTATGTGTGAATTCATTTTCATACATATATAAAAAAATATATAAGAGAAGGTGGCCTAATAGAACACAGTGGCTTATGTCTACAAGGGGCGGGGGTACTAAAGTAGGGTAAGATGGTCACAGAAGCGTATATATCCACAGGGGTAAGAAAAGCAGAGGGTGTTACTAGTGTGTAAGTTTTTAATGATCGAAGAGGAAGGCAGAAGACTTGGCAGCATGCATACATACATAAAGGCCAGAAGGATAACAGAACAGTGCCTGACAGTTGGCACGCTATGAGTGTATGCATACGAACATGCAAAAGTGTATTGGATTTACATAATGCCACGAATACATCCTCCTACAGCAGCACAGCAAGGAACACACAGAATGCTCTGTTTGGTCCCAGCTTCCATCCCCACAGCCTTACACAGTTACACTGCTGTGCTTCTGCTGCCCTGCTTTTCAGCCTCCCTCCTTCTCACTACCAGCATATTCTAAGCCCTTCCAAAGGGAGAGGAAAGGAGGCGGGGTGGAAGAAGCTCATATCCAGTTTGAGACACTGTTCTCAAGGGCAGAGTCAAATCCAAACTTTTTGAAAAAGTGAAAGCCTTCTAGTGAGTACTGAAGGAAGGGTTTGTAACTAAGCTGTTCATTATTTCTAAGACTTCAGATTTCTTATTCGGGTTCAAATTTGTATTTAATATTTCAATCATCTGATTTTAATGACTGTGTGATCTTTCAACTTTATTATTAGCAAAACATAGCATTTTAAGTATAATCTTAAAATCTGCTTGCCCTGTGATGCCACATACCCCTCCGATAAATCAAAGGAAAAAACTGGAAAGCTGTAACAAATAGCCTGACATTGTTGGAGTCTCTCTGTACTAGCTGCCTTGTTACATCTAAGACCTGAGGTGATTTTTCTTATCTTTTCCTAGAAATCTTGTTGATATTTGAGCTTTCCTCTGTGCAGAAAAATAGCAAACATTTTATTATTTAATTCTCCTTTAATACCTGTTCTAGGCAAACAGATACAGCAATAGGCCTTTTGCATAATTCATGTTTTTAAGAATTCTTTTCACAGGTAATTTGGTCTACCCAGAAGTGAAGCACAAGCACTTTGTCAACAAACTTTATCGCTCTATTAATATACATTAAGATGTATAGCTCAGCCATTAACTCACAAAGAAGGAACTCCCACACGGCAGCAAGCTGTAATATAAGTAAACAAACAGCCTGGAATTTTTAAGATCATATAAAATAGTCCTCATACACAAAGAAACAGAATAGAGACAAGTTCCAAAGTTGCAGAAAAGTACATACAGCTTCAATTTGCAATATGATAAAAAGCAATCCTGAGGTCTTAAGAGATCATGCAAGTCACACTTACCATACATAGAAAAACCATGAAAAGGAATTACACCTACAAAACAAAAAGTTTTTTTTGTTTTTCTCTATTTTTTTAATCCATGTAAAAAATGTATTTCCCCCCCCCCAAGTTTCTAAATTCTATTCTGCCTACCATAGGAATAAAATACTTCCTTGTTATGGCACCTGCAGTCTTAGATCTCAATCTTGTAAATATTTCAGTACAGGGGTTGTATCACTTACTTCAGTAAAACCAACTACGTGCTTAAACACATGCTATAGTTCCTAGAAAGCCAAGTAAAGATGTTTCCATTAGGTTATTGTGTATAAGCTTTGGTGAAATCAGAACCTAATTTCAGATAAGTGACAAGTCGTAAATGTCATGCACTGACAAGAAGGGAGCAAGAAAAAAGGAGGCCAAGACCTCTAGTAATTCATGCAGTACTCAGATAAAACATTTAGAGGACTTGGCAGTCATATCATAACAGTTCTCTCCTCCTTTCCAGCTGATCTTAGCTTCCATTCATTAATTTTCACATAGGGCAGGTAAGAGGGAGCTGCTTTGGTAAAAGGTCATAAGGACAATGCTTCATGGCTACAAAGCTGCAAAGAATTGCAAAGGTAAAAATGGAAGAAGGGGGAACAGAAGTATCTGCTACAACTGACACCACTGGAACATAGAAGACATTAAAGACAAGGCCAGAAACACAGATATAAGACTGCTGATGTAAGGCCTTGAAAGCAAGAGAAAAAAGCTCAGTTATGTCTGGTTTTTTTTAAATGAACACAAATTTTGAAAGGAAAATACTTCAAGATGTGGTTTGTTGCATACTGAGAAGCTGGGGTCAGACAGTTTCAGTGTGTATCATTCAGATCCTCCAAGTGGTGATACAAGACTGGAATACAAGCTGCTGCACCAGAAGTTGTTTTCCTTCTCCTTCCCACACACACAGACGAACTCCATATGTGACTACTAACACCGGGCTGATTGTGGTTTTAGAGTAGCTTCAGTCCAGCTTAGTCCTTTATATTAATGAATTTCCCAGAATAACAGTGAAACACAATTTGTAGTAGACATTAACATTTATGTGAGAAAAAAAATCCTGTGTCTTTCTAATCTACCACTAGAGGAGGCAATAGCATAATTCTTACCATTTGGAGGATAGAAAACAGCATATTCTTCCATTCCGAGTTTTCCTGTGAATCATCATAGCACAATTAAAATGTGATTAAACTGTTAAAAGGTGTAAAGATTTAAATTTAAAAGGTAGATTCTAAGTTACAATTATAAAAACCACAGCTAATTACATTATTGACCATTTGATGTTGTCTAAAACAAGCAAGCAATGCAATAGGACAGGTATGGTGTCAGATATAAAAATAAATGCAGCACCAATAAGGGAGGATGACAAACAGCAAAAAAGAGTAAGACTTCATCTATCCCATAGAGATTTTATTTGGGTGTGTCTTAGGAGCTCTAAGGGTGTTTACTGCAGACCTTGAAGGCAGTGAAGTTCTGCCATTCTGTGGCAGACTGACCTAGGAACAGGAGAGGCATTTAAAAAGCAGCAAGAACAGATGAAAAATATTCAATGCTTCATTAAGCCTGCAACAGAGAGGAAGATGGATGGAATGTTTTGATATAACAAAAAAAATTTAAGTAACCTGTTGCATACAAAAGCTTAATTAAGTCAAGACAGTCGCTGATAGTATAGACTGACCATATAAATTTTTATCTTCTCCGCAAAATGTTATATCAGTTATTTTAACTATAGAACCTAATAACTTAAAATCTACTATTAAAAAAAAATCTAATGATTTATTTATAAATATAAAAGTGTTTTAGACATAATTACAACTAATTAAAAACTGTAATAGTTTTAGTTTTAAAATGAGAAAATTCAACTAGAAAATGTAATTACTTATATGAAAATTCATTGAGCATTCAGAGATCCTTTAGATCTCTGTGTATTTTGTTCATTCTATACAGAAGAACTTAGCACAAGGAACTTTCATCAGGTCCAATGGAATCTGGACTTATTTTCCTGTAGTGTAAATTTTCCAAAACTACCCTGCAAAGTTCTTGCCTACTACGCCACTCAAATAAAATCCAGTATTTTCCAATTACAGAAATAGGTTGTTTCATTAAACTGAAAAGTACTTTTTACTTTTCCTTTCAATAGTTTGCTTGCTGTGCAGCCAGGAGTTGTAATCTTGAAGGAGAGTATTTTTAGCATAAAGCACATCTCTTGGAAAATTAGCCAAAAATAGGACCTACAAGCCCTTTGGATTTACACTGCACAGGTTCAGCA